TGAATTTGGACGCCACCCAATTCCTTTTAAAAGATAACTCAGATCTTGTCCGAAATGGGAAAACAAGATGCAAGAAAAGTTGGTGTACACTTCGTGTAATATTTCATCAATTTTGAAAGTCACACATCAATATTCAATAATCACAAAGGGAGGAATCTGAAGTCAAACAAATACTTTCATTAATAACAATATAATAATAGAAGATATGACATATGAAAAAGGTAAATTATAATCCTACAAACAATTTCGTGGGAATTGACACAACATTACGTATGATTTCAAATCAGTTCAACCAATATAAAAAAGTAATTCATGTGATGACCATATTCAAGTGTTTAAAAAAATGAGAGCGATCATCCAGTACTGTATAATGGCTATTATACACAATTATGATGTAAATTAAAAAGGTGTTAGGTGAAAAATTGAAAATATCAAAACTGGTTTGGGTATACTATCCTGAATAGACTGAGCAGTAGTCTAAAATCCCACGGAGTTGGTTGAAGTCAAAAGTACTATCCACTCCATTCAGGTACGTCGTAAGCAAATAAAATAAGGAAAGATAACTAGGGGAGTAGTTGAAACGTCCTTGGGCTGAATAGTTCTGACTGGATCACCCTCTCATTCCTCATGACCAGGTAGAATCCGGAAAGACAATTGTTTGGGAAAAGTAGTTCATCTTGAGTGATTGAAACGGGCTGCAAGGTTGAACAATCTTCCTTTCGTCTCCACCAAGAAAGAAATGGAGAGACAAAAATCTTATATCCTCATAACCAGGTTCAATCCGGAGAGACGATTACAGCAGGAAAATAATTCATCATTGGAACATCTCGCTTGTGAAGAATAAGTCAAATTTTCATGAAAAGGGTTTTAGTCCAATACGACAAAATGGCGAACAGGACCAACGCAAAAACTGCCATCAGCAAAATAAAGGAAATCAAAAGGAAATATTCTCATACATTTGAGATCAACTTAAATTACATGGGGTGAAGAAGGTTCCCCAGAAATCTTCTCCTCCATAAAATCTTTTAAAAAAACGAACATTTCAGAAATGTGGTTACCAAAAAAATTTGCAAAAACTCACCTCGTACCGAGGTTAGATTCATGTCCTTACAGGAACAAACGAAATATGGTCACTAGACATAGTGCCCAATTGAAGCAGGAACATTCAAAGTTATAAAGAATCCACTCTGGATTTACTTTACTCACAAATTTGTTTTTTCTGTCGGAGCACACAAATCTCGACTAGCGTCGTTCCCTACACGAACAGAAAGAGGCAAGCTAACATGGCTACCTCGAGCACTTCGATTTATTTTCAAAAGATCGACTATATAATTTCTAAGAAGATAACATATTAAACAACAGAGTTCTACCACAAAAGTAGACGTGTTAATGAAGGGTAGGCCATCTGGTGGACAATAGCCGAATTTGTAATTTGAATTTCCATGTTGAGTGTGGTAAAAGCCAATCATCACTGAGGGTGAAATCTGGATCTGAGAAGATGGCTGAGTGTTAGATGAATTCCATTTTTCTCTCTTGCAATGAGGATATTGAGGGAAGAAGAACTGATGATGTTTCAAAAGGGAGTTTTCAAGTGATTCCTTCACATAAGCTAGGCTCCGCTTGGCTCCAATTTTGTTGTAGCTCCTTAAAGTTGGTTTCCTGCAGACTAATTATCGTAGAAATCAAATCGTTCTTCAAGTACTGTACCATTTCTGAATGGCTGAATAACGCATTTATATTCCATTGAATGATATTACAACGTTTATATGTATTTTGTAGTATGTGTCTATGGACATGTAACTTTCAGTTTTTTAAAGTGATACCTTTGAGGTTCTCTCATCTTCTACGTTCAGTTAGTGGAGTATTTGCTTTTCGATGCTGGTTATTCTTGAAGTTATACATTTTCCGGTAGTTGTAGGATGAATCAGAGTTAAGAGCTCTTGTCGCACATGAATGTTCTTCTTGTATTTTGAATTGTTTCCTTTATTTTTTAGGAAAAGTTTGTGCCGTTAGCTACTGAATTAGGTAGAATATGTGGTCGAAGTTTATCAATTGATTGTGTGAAAGTTGAATATGGACGCCACCCAATTCCTTTTAAAAGATGACTCAGATCTTGTCCGAAATGGGAAAACAAGATGCAAGAAAAGTTGGTGTACACTTGGTGCACTTCGTGTAATATTTCATCAATTTTAAAAGTCACACATCAATATTCAATAATCACAGAGGGAGGAATCTGAAGTCAAACAAATACTTTCATTAATAACAATATAATAATAGAATATATGACATATGAAAAAGGTAAATTATAATCCTACAAACAATTTCATGGGAATTGACACAACATTACGTATGATTTCAAATCAGCTCAACCAATATAAAAAGTAATTCATGTGATGACCATATTCAAGTGTTTCAAAAAATGAGAGCTATCGTTCAGTACTGTACAATGGCTATTATACACAATTATGATGTAAATTAAAAAGGTGTTAGGTAAAACATGAAAAATATAAAAACTGGTTTAGGTATACTATCCTGAATAGACTGAGCAGTAGTCTAAAATCCCACGAAGTTGGTAGAAGCCAAAAGTACTATCCACTCCATTCAGGTACGTCGTAACCAAATGAAATAAGAAAAAATAACTAGGGGAGTAAATGAAAAGTCCTTGGGCTGAATAGTTCTGATGGACCACCCTCTCATTCCTCATGACCAGGTAGAATCCAGAAAGACAATTGTTTAGGAGAAGTAGTTCATCTTGAGTGGTTGAAACGGGCTGCAAGGTTGAACAATCTTCCTTTCGCCTCCACCAAGAAAGAAATGGAGAGACAAAAATCTTATATCCTCATAACCAGGTACAATCCGGAGAGACGATTACAGCAGGAAAATACTTCATCATTGGAACATCTCGCTTGTGAAGAATGAATCAAATTTTCATGAAAAGGGTTTCAGTCCAATACGACAAAATGGCGGACAGGACCAACGCAGAAACTGCCATCAGCAAAATAAAAGGAATCAAAAGGAAATATTCTCATACATTTAAGATCAACTTAAATTACATGGGGTGAAGAAGGTTCTCCAGAAATCTTCTCCTCCATAAAATCTTTTAAAAAAAACGAACATTTCAGAAATGTGGTTACCAAAAAAATTTGCAAAACTCACCTCGTACCGAGGTTAAATTCATGTCCTTACAGGAACAAACGAAATATGGTCACTAGACATAGTGCCCAATTAAAGCAGGAACATTCAAAGCTATAAATAATCCACTCTGGATTTACTTTACTCACAAATTTGTTTTTTCTATCGAAGTACACAAATCTCGACTAGCGTCATTCCCTACACGAACAGAAAGAGGGAAGCTAACATGGCTACCTCGAGCACTTCGATTTATTTTCAAAAAATCTTAAATCAAGTAACGACTATATAATTTCAACATATCAAACAACAGAGTTCTACCACAAAAGTAGACGTGTTAATGAAAGGTAGGCCATCTGGTGGACAATAGCCGAATTTGTAATTTGAACACTTTATAATTTTTTGCGATAGTTAATGGATCAGGTAATCCAAAAATCGTTTACCGAGAAGTTCGTAACTTGCTAGGCGAGAAGCTACTTCTACAACATTTCCAGACAGTGGTTGTCAGGTTACTTACTGGAGAGGCACTTTTTCATGTTTTCTGCATTTAGTGTCAAGAGGTTTCAGAAAATTTCAAACATCTGATGTGGCAGTTTCGGTAGTGGGGCTGGAAAGTGCGAAGTCCTTTCGTTCGAGAGCTTCGGGCTGTGAGGGTGCCCTTGACTTTTCTTATGAATTTTCCAGTAGATTTTAGGCACCTGTTTCTTCTGTGGTATGGATTTCCCTCGCTGGATGTATGAATGACGTTTCTGGGTATGTGGATGCGATTTTGATGTATCATTAATAATAATAGACAATCTTGGGGTTCACTGTTTGGAACCTTTCGTGTAGTAATGGATGTTACTGGAGTTTTTTGACAACACCAAACCGTTATTTCAACACCTCGACACGTGTTTTGATCACCAAGTGATCGTCTCCGAGAGAAAGATCAAAATCCTCTTCAAGATGATCTATTGGTGATCAATCCACGTATCGAGGTGATGAAATAACGGTTTATTGTTGGGAAAAACTCCAGTAATATTCACAATAGACAATCCCCTAACAGGTATCTTGAACAAATATATGTCGGATATAATTCCATGTCCAGCATGGTATTACCTGAAAAATCAGTTGTTTCCGATAGGTTTTCACCAAAATCCATCATTTTGCACGTTGGGAAAGATGAATGTTTCGTAATTCAAATTAGAATTATTTATTCCCTTTTACGTATGTATATCTCTCCTCGATTCATTCTTCAGATTGATTCTGATCATGTTATAGGTTTGGCACTTACATATGTTTTTTTGTCACTTTGTAACGCGTGTTCAATCTTTTCAAGCTATAAGTAACTCAAACGAATGAAAACAAAAAAAAATAAGAAAAACCAAAACAAATCACTTTACCTGTCGATGCTCAAGTACACGCAAAAAAGGGGCGCCACTGGCTCTCAAGCAGCCCAAGCCAGAGGACTTCCAGATCTCGAGGAACCACCAGGTAATTTTCGTGAAATGATCACCATTAAAATAATTGAGGGATGTATTGATTATTTGTGAATATATTGAAACTTATCTTCTGAATATATCGAATAATTTAATGATAAGAACAAAAATATCCCACAACACGTATCACGCTTGAAGAGCAAAAAAAAGGCACGTAATTATTGTTCTCAACAACAACTTCCTCCCAGTAACATGTACATGCGCGTGATTCACAACAAAATAATTATATGATTTCTCAATATTTGATGGGTAATAAACTCGTATATTGGAATCTACGAAATCAAAGTTCAAATGGAAATAACAAAAACTTATATATCTAATCTTATCTGTTTTGGTTTGGGTTATTTGCTGGATATTGATAGCTCTTTTCCCTATCCTTTCCCACGGTTCAGTGATTGTATAATAAAAATTCTAGATTCAAATGGCTTGGAAAACCTATGACCCAATGCTAGAATTTTACACCAGAACCCAGAACCCTACGAATTTGAATGAAAAACAATTCGTGTATTTATTACTCAAGAATTGGAAATATAAAAAAAAACTACATTACCTCTTTTATAGAAGGAGGGTTCTCTCAAAATCAATGAATACCAGTAAATATATAGTTTTTGCTAGGGCCTTGAGCTTTGTTTTTGTTTAACTGAAATGAAATGGCAGTTGTTCGACACCGAATTTTCCATAAAAAAGCATTATTTCTCACCCAGATTTATTTTAGATCTTTTACTTTGGTGCAATTCAAATCCCATTTAGGGTAACAGTTTTTCACACTGATCAATACCATATGTAACGTAACACAACTGTTTAATATGAAAATTTACGTTGAAATCCCAAAAACTTGGTACGAATTAATAAATCGAATAAACGTAGATTTTCTAGCGACCAATAGACAAAGACTAATTCAATCGTGGGTGTTCTGTCGTTATTCCGTAAATATTCGTAGGAATCATGCGTATCGATCGGAGTATCGGGAGTCAATATATTTACGGGGGGATTCTCGAGGTAATTAAAATAATTTTAATGTTGTCGCGGTATTTTAAACCGTGACAACTTGTAGGACTTTATTCGTGAAATGGGACTGAAGATAATGTGCAAATATAGTGAAATAATACCTAAACTTCGAAACATTTCTGAGAGATTCAAAACAATGTTTGAAACTTCATATTTGACCAACTATGATTGAAATATGAATCAAATATACACACTGTGAATACAAACCTGCTTCATTTGAGTAATGCGCGTGGTTTCAATAGGTAGTTTTTGAAAATTTTCTTATATTACTTCAAGATAATGGAAGAGATTCAGAAGTTTGATAAAGTCATATTTTAGAAACTCGATATTCTCAACGGAACAACCTGTATAATGGTCTAAAAACCTGAACATCGAAAAAAAAAATCAATGTTTTTAGCCTAAAGAACATTTGCTTCCTTTATTCATGATTTCCCTGAAGTGATGAGTTAAATGTAACAATGTTTCCAAGGGGGAGATAAAAGAAAAGTTTCCCAGGCTGGGTAATGTAAAGTTCACGAACTGAATGAAACTTGATCTTCGGGAGCCTACCGAATCATTTACGACTGGTTTGTGTTAGTTTTGCGGACGGGAGTTGTATAAGTTAGGAAGGAATATAATATGTGTGGATTCCGTAGAACTTTGGATGTTTGTGAAAATCATCTCGCAATTATCGTACATATTATTCATCTTGTCGAAGCAAAACTTAGGAAACCTGAGGTTGTGGCGATGAAAATTCGAAAGTTACCAATAACAGGAGAGTGTGGAATTATGAAAGAAAATTTGAGAAATGTTTAGGCAGGAAAATAATGTCTAGTGTAAACAAAATCACATAATGCGTCCATCGAGTAGGACATATACGCTCTGTCTGTTAAAAAAATCAGGCAAACTTTCTTGTTCCCAATGAAATGATGGATGTAGCCGTTACTACGTGATCGAAAATCATAATGAAGAAAAGACAATTGTAACTTTCTATGTGTTTAACCACTTTCATTTTTAACTAACGTTACTGCAGTTTCGTCCTATGAAGACATTTTCAAACTTATACATTAAACTAACAATGGTTCATTACAATAGCCCTTATATAGCACCCCTTTAGGTGATAACAGGAGTACTTGGCTTGATTGAATACCTGAATTTACAATTCAAAATGCAGATGTGCTAATTTGAAAACTGGTGAGAAAACTAAATCGATTTGTGTGGCAGCGAAGTTCGTTCAAAAATTGCTGAATTTTAACCAAACAATTGAATCAGTCATTCAAAATGAAAACCTTACTGTCATCAAGAAACACCTAACGAAAAATAATCAAAATGAACTCTAACACTAAAATGATTTTTACGGAATCAGAGAAACGGAGAATCACCAACATGGCCCCTCCTGCCCTAAAGTATATGGCCTGGTAAAAAACATAAGACCGGTAGATTCGTATACAAATACTCCGAAAGGAGAACTGGGAATACGTCATAACAAGTTGTTCAAAAATATTACCAATTTCGTACCACCTCACAGCATTGAAAATTCACTGATTTTAGTAGAAAACATAAGTAACCTAACCATGCCACATACTTTAATTTCAGTTTCATTCGATGTAAAAAGTATGTATACAAAGTATACAAAGAGTAAGCCCCTCATTTCAGATATATTACATCAAGCCAAAGTAGACCATATCTCTTCCTTCGAAGTTTCAATAGTTTTCGAAATGTGCTTAACTCATGTGCAGTTCAACAACAAATTTCATAAAGTGGATTTAGGTTTACAGATGAGCTCACCCCTTAGTCCACTTTCAGCAGACATACTTATGAACAGCACTATAGTAAATTCCGACCTGGGTAAAAATCATATTCATTTTTGATACGGATATATAGACGGTATTCTCGCCTGTTTCAGAGGTACTACACGACAGCTGAACCAATATATGACATTCATGAATAATCTCAATAGCAACTGAATGTTCACACTCGAAACAGAGGTAGAGAAACAGATAAATTTCTTAGACGTGACCATTACACACAATCAGAATAAATTTGAGTTCAATGTTTTCAGAAAACCTACCTATACAATTATTACCATACCAAGTGATTCTTTCTTTCTATCCAGACAGTCATAAATTAGCTGCCTACAATTCAATGTAGCATAGAGCATTCGCACTGCCTTTGTCTGCTAACAATTGATATGATTACACAAATAGGTCATAATAATGGTTTCAACGCAGATACTCTCCAGAAGTTAGTCAGAAAACAAAGCCATAAATTCACTTACAGATTGATATATCCTCAGGTCAAACAACCAGAAATCAAGTAATGGGTAACTTTAACATATTTTGGAGAAAGAACAGAGATAATTGCGGGTTTCTTCAGAAAAAACAATGTGGAAGTGGCATCCAGACCACATGCCAGGTTATCTGATTTCCTTTTCGATTTCAAAGATAAGGTGGACAAGTTGGAAAAATTTGGAGTTTATAAGCTCCAGTGCCTGGAATGTAATTGTGTCTATGTGGGACAATGTGGTCAAAATTTCCAAAAAACGGTATGCTGAACATGAAAGGTCCTTAGGTAAAAATGATTCGACGTTTTCAAACCATTCCTTGGCATGCAACCACAAGTTCCAAAATCTAAACAATGCGGAAATTTTGCACTATGCAAGGAAGGATTACAAACTCAATTATTTAGAATCTTTAGAAATTCACAAGCATAACCATTGCGGGTGCTACCTGTTGAATGATCAAATCTGTGCTGCAAAATGGAATACTTGGTTGGGGCGAAGCAAACAAAACAATTGTCAAAACACTTGAACATGTGCAAAACGAATCATTCGATTTTCTTCTGATTCATTATATATCGAGTTAGAAATTCTTGTCAGAGATGTTTTACATATTGAGGACCAAAATTGTACAACATAATGCCAAATTCTCTTGAAGCAATCCATAACAAATACAATTTGAAGAGGGAGGTAAAAAAAGGGATACTTTCAGAAAATAGACATATTTTCCATGAACTCTTAAATGATTCATCCCATTTTTTACAATGATTTTTTTCCCTTTGCAATTGATAGTTGATATTAAATGTCTATGTTTTTCCAAGTTGATTCCAAATTAAGGAACCATTACTATAGTTATTCGTTTTTCTTTTCTTTGTGTGTGTTCGTTATTATTAGGAATATTTCTCCTTTTTGAAAATTCGAAAAATTATACTGGAATATGAGCAGTGTATCTTTTTAGGTAGTATTCATTATTTATTGTTGCGTATATGTATGATTAAGTATACCCATGGACAGGGTCTTCAAGAGCTTATATGGGAAAATGTATTTCTGAAATAATGTTTACATTGTGATACTTTCCATATTCTATAATAATAAAAAAAATTCTTTTGTAAGTAAATATTATTATTATTATTATTTACTTTACTCACCGGTTTTCAAATTAGCACATTCGCATTGTAAATTGTGAATTCAGGTATTCAATCAAGCCAAGTATCTCAATTATTACCTACAGGGGTGCTATATGTGGGCTAATGTAATGAAATATTGTTAATTTAATGTATAAGTTTGAAAATGTGTTTATATGACAAAAAGTTAGTTACAAATAAAAGTGGTTAAACCATAGAAATTTTCAATTCTCTTTCCTTTTTTCCGATGAAATATTGATTTATTCTCTTATTTCCATTCTGCCCCTTTCAACGTAGCCCTCTTCAGAAGTAATACATTTGTATCAGCATTTTTTTCTATCATCGAAACAGTTCTAATATGCACTTTTTAATGTGTCGTTGATATCACTCAGCAATTTGATTTTTTATCTCCTCACTTGTCGCAAAACGCCGTCATTTCCTGTCGCAGGGGGATGAATCCGGTAAATACGGTGGCTGAGGCAAGATTGTCGTGTTTTTTTTTGGCCAAAAGATCACAAAAAAGCAATGAAGTATGAGCAGGTGCATCATCGTGATGAGAAAGCCATTGACTCTTATTCCATACTTCCGGACGTTTTCTTCGTATTCCTCCTCGCAAGTGGCGCATAACTTCAAAATGATACTTCTTATTGAGCTTACGACCATGTGGCACTACATCACGGTAACCAAAGAAAACAGTGAGCAAAACCTGGACATTTGATCGAACTTGACGTGCTTTTTTGGCATTGGCACTCCTGGGCCTTTCGTATAGGACATTTGAACTTTGATTCTGATGTCATAACTACCAGACCCTCTCAAGCAAATTTGAATCGCCCCAGCTATGCTTATTCGATGGTTTTTTTGAGCAAAATTCAGCAATTTTGGAACGAACTTCGCTGCCACACGATTTATGCTCAAAATTTAAAAAAAGTTGCATGGCATGAGCCAACCGATACGCCGACAACCTCAGCAACTTCTTTAATAGTGATTAGACGATTCTCCGTATCAATTTCCTTCACTTCCTCAATATGATCATCGGTTGTTGATGTTCTGAGGCGTTCAGGTTGTCATCCACATCTTCTCGACTTTCCGTGGAAAGCTTGTACCACTCATAAACATTTTGCTGACTCTGAGTACAATCAATGTATGCCACTGTCAACATTTTGGGTGGTTTTGAGCACTCAATTCCATGTATCAAACAAAATTTGATGCAAATCATCTGATCAATTTTTCGCGAAAGCAGAACATAGCCGAACACGTAAAACACTCATGAATTGTATGCCTCTCACTAATATAACAAATACCGAAATGAAAAAACTGATGTGAAAATTCTGCGAAATAATAATTCACTAGTGAGATTGTGAGAAAAATCATGTAACTTGAGTTTTCAGGTGGAAAATTTTTCTTTTCCACATCATTTCTTATGGAGAAAATTTCAAATGAGAACAACAGTGAGAGAGTGTGACAACTTATTCAAAGTCTTTCAATTCAGTATCCAACCGTGTCACCTCTCCTGACATTTCAAAGATGATCAATTTTAGAATTAGATAAGATTCAGTTCAAATACAATTTTATTTAGCTCCTCTACTGCTGAATATCAC